CTTCCTTCTCATGTGTCTAAGATCAAGTTTTTAGGGCTTTCCCTCTGGTCTTCAAAGTTCTGTCGACTTCAACCTCTCCCAAACTCTGTCCTTTATTCCTACAGCACTTTCCTTTGTGCCCTATGTCRCCAGCAAGGACCATTCCAGTTAATCTAAGCTAAAACTGCTTTTTAGCTTGGAGTTGTAGCCTTGACTTCGGTCCCCCAACAGGCCTCAACCCAGCATACCCATCTCAGGGAATACTGAAGCTATGAATCTGAAATAACCCTTAGTCTCTCCTCTTCATCAACTAGCAAAAACTACCTTCATTTGAGCATAGTAATTCAGCTGTTTTCTGCAATCATTTCATTTGTGTTGTCTCAGCATCACCTTTTTGCTCTTTCAACCCTCTCCATATCTTTGTAACTGATTCCCTATATGAAATTCTGTTGAAATCACTAGGGTGTTTGTTATTATTCCTTTACTAAGACCTAACTCTCAGAGGTAGTATAATATTTTTAATCACAGCAGACTATCTTGTATACTTGCCAGCCACAACATTTTTGTTGTTATTGTTTTATTTGAGACAAAGTCTCCCTAAATTGACCAACCTGGCCTAGAACTTTCGATCTTCCTGTCTCAGTCTCCCTGGGAAGCTGGGATTACAGATACACACCACCAGGCCTTGCTACAAAGTTGTGTTTTTTAAAGTTATCATTTGGAATTTTTCTTATTAATTATAATTCCTTTATTTCAGGTTCACTCAAAAAATAATGAATTTAAAATTTGGAGAGTTTTTAAATGACATCCAAACTTTAAAAATAATATTCAATTTTTTGTTAATAAAAATGACAATCCTATAATTTCACTTCCTCGTTATTCTTACTAATCAATAATTTTTAAAAGGATTGTGGTAGGTGCTTGCTTTGWCAGCACATTCACTATAATTGGAACAATACAGAGATCAGCATGACCCCTATGCAAGAACAACATGCAAATTCGTGAATCATTCTTTTTTTTCCCTCATTTGTCCACTCAAGTTGAACTATGTTCAGTAACTTTACTACTGGACACTTTCTCACCCCTCTTACCACCCATTAAGGATACCTGGGCTTTGTATTCTTCTCCCCTCTGGTACTAGAAATGGAASCCAGGCTTTGTGCATACTAAGAACTTCACCATTGATTTACATCACCAGTCTATCTCATGTTTGTATTCTCTATATATCATCTACCCTTCTGCTTTTTGCCATATCCTATGAGGCCCTTGCCAGATATAGTACCCAATCTTGAATTTCCAACCTCCAGAACCATGAGCTAAATGAACAATATCTTCTTTTTTTGTTTTTTTTTTAAAGACAATGGTAAGAAAGTTCTATGGAGAAATCTAATTTAGAGCTAACCTTCAATCCTCTACACGTAGGCCCTTGGAAGGCAGTAAATTAGAGCAAAGTAAACAGGAACACTATGCTGGTTTATTATTTCAATTTTTAAAAATGCTATTCCATGGCAACAACTTTGAGCACCTTACACATGCRGGCACATGTGAGTACACACACTCTGTTTCAGAGATAAACTTACGAATTGAATTGTTGGATTTTTAAAATGGGCACTTTTATAAATGAGAAAACCTGCATYTACATATTCTAAAGGCATAATGGTCAAGGTTAAAAATAAACCCTATCTTCTCTATGTGCCTTTAATATATTAAACAATGGATAAACATACTATACACCTGTCTGGGTCATCACATAAATGACAAATACCTTCCTTAGTAAATGACTAAAATCCCATTATTAATTTGGGAAGTGTTTTTTCTTTGTTTTGGTGATGGTGGTACTGAGTTTGTTCTTATGACTGTATATGTTACACACATTATAAGTATATTTTGTTGGAATATAAGTATATTGTCTAAAGAAAGAAACCTTGAAGGAAGAGCCAAGAACACTTGCTTACATTCTTAACTCCATCATCATCATGTTCTATCTTCTGGATCATATGCTTCAATGTCTGTCTGCCTATAAAATTAGGGATAATAATGTCTATCTTTATTAGCTTACAACTAAAATAAAAATTGTAAGAACAAAGTTGTTTTTAAAAAAAAGTTGTGAGACAAAGACACTACATATATGTATTGAATTTCTATTTTTTTATCCATAGGAAAAAATCTTAAAACAAAAGTTGTGACATGCCTTTCTTATGAATGTTCAAGAAGAGAGACAGTATAGAAGAAAAGGCATGGCTTTTAAAAAGAGAAACTCAAGACTATATTTACAATGTTCTACTATATTTGTGACATTATGCAAACCCATGTAAACTTGGAGAGTTTTTGCAGCTGTGGAACAATCACAATTGGATGAGGAAAAAATATGTCAGTTGCCTAGTAAAGTACCTTCAGCATTCAAAAAATGTTAGTTTCTTTTCCCTAAACTTAGGGGTACATTAAAAATCACAGATACACTTTTGGATTTACATAAAAATCTTACTTCAAAAAAAGCAATAAAGCATAAGGATTCCTCCCCAACAAAAATACACACACACACACACAAATTAATTTTTTAAAATCTCCTTTAGGTTGTTTATAATTAATACATTGGGGGATAGGTAACTAGAGATTGAACCCAGGGAGCCACATCCCTATCCCCCCACCTCTTTTTTTTTTTTTTTTTTTTTGAGACAGGGTCTCCCTAAGTTGCTTAGAGGCTTGCTTAGCTGCTGGCTGGCCTTGAACTTGTGATCCTCCTGCCTCAGCCTCACAATTCACTGGGATTACGGGCGTGTACTTCCAGATTTGGCCTACTTAATATAATTTTTTAATAACTAAACTCTGTTAAAAAAATTTAAACTAAATACCATTTCTGTGAGTATTTAATTCCTTCTATCAAAAAGTTCAATATGTCATAAGAACACTGAATAATAGAGCTATTCCCATAAACTATGGAATCTGTTAAGGCATGAACTGACAAATTAGGGTCAACTGTATACACACACTATATTCAACTTTATTAAAAAATCAAACATACAAAACAATGGTTCTTTTAAGTCCCTTCATGTACAATTTCTAGCATTGTATCTTCTGCTTTCTGTGTTAAACCTATGAGAAAACAAGGAGCCCTCTTTCATTTTTCTTCTGCTCAGTGGACACACTAGAGGAACTTTCATTTATGTCAAATCCACGGTGATTTCAAAAAAGAAAACAATAAGGAAATAGTTGAAAAAAATACAAGATTCAGGTGACTTTCTTATACAGACATTAAGATTCATTCCTTTAATTTGAAAGAAGCAAACAAAATCCAATCTGATCAAATTTAAACCCCAAATATTATAGAAACTTTATTAGAAAACGATTCAGTTCTGAATTTCTAGTCAAAAAATATATTAGGTAAAAGTATCTTCTGTAACAAGAGAGTCAGAATGCTTCCAGGGTAAAGGGAATTTCTACATTCAATCATAGCAAATGCTATCAATTTTAAAATATATCCAGTTTGTACTCAGAAACTAGTAGCCAAACCCATAAGGGCTTACCATAACAAACAGTGTGGCACACAAAAACATGGTAATTAACACTTAAGAATGAAACTGGAGTCGTATTTAGCAGTCTAAACTTTCTACCCCAATAAATTAAAAACTGAGCATGAAAGATGTTTCTGTAATCATCTGGTTTGCTTTCTAGACAGGGCTTCAATAGAACTGAATTGCTTTTGAACAAACACACACACACACACACACACACACACACACACATATAAATGGCTGGTACAGATTTTGGAAGCCAGCCACATTTACTCTGGATAAAACTCTGACAATTTTTCAAAAGGGCGTAGGGGAACAGGCTTCGCCTAGAACCATTCATTAATCATTAAGGGTGATACAGGTACCAAGAGAATTTGCTTTCATCCTAAGTATACTGTTTCCTACAAAATGTAGCACATTTTGCAATTCAGGGCGAATTTTTTGGAAGTTGTTGCAAGAGCACTTTTATTCGTCTCCAAAACAACTTTATTCCTAGTCCACTGTTTTCTATTTGCCTCATCTGTACTTAGTAGAGCATGCTTCAGTGATTTAGCAATCCCAGCCACCAAAACACAGCCAAAGTTTGAATTGAGAAGGGTAGGCAGGGGTGGGAGGAGATCAAGTAATTACACTACACTTAGAAGGGGGAATGGTTTTACCTTCTATAACTTTTTAGTTTATTCTTTTTTTATTATTTTTTTTTATTTCTAGTTGTAGGTGGACATAATCCCTCCATTTTATTTATTTATATGTAGTACTGAGAATCAAACCCAGTGCCCCACACATAGCAGGCACCAGGTATTTTTAACTTAATGTTTTAACTATTATGGTTCTCTTGGCCTCATCTTACAATTTTACCTTTTGACTAAGAATCAAAATCAACAAAACCAGTCCACGTGTTAACACTGTATATTTCAGAAAAAACAGTTCAGTGTTCTGTAAAGTTTCATTATTAAGAATTTACTCAAATTGTTGAATGTTATCATATGATTTAGAAACCGAAATGGGGAGTGGGGAGTTATAGTCATCTTGGAGATAAAGGCTGAATAGTTAACATTATGACAAACATACTCTGAACCATATTTCATTTTCTCAGTGCCAATCAATGGTTTAAAGAATTCGGTTCCTTCCATCCTATAAAACAAGAGATGACCTTTAAAAGTTTTCTTAATAAAAAATAAACAACCTTAAAAGATGATGTTACCCAATACAAAAAAATATTATACAGTTAAAAGTTGGAGACTTTATGGACTTAATATAACAAAAAAATGTCTGAAAGAACAATGAACTTTCACACCAAAAATCAAATCCTCTATTAAAAAGAAACAAAGAGGGCTGGTTTTGTGGCAGTGGTATAGTGCTTGCCTGGCACACGCCTGACACTGGGTTTGATTCTCAGCACCACATAAAAACAAAATAAGGATATTGTGTCTACATTCAACTAAATATATRTTTTTTTAATTGAAACAAAAAAATTAACAACTTTCTATTTTACACTTTACAACATACCTTTGTAGAATGCCATTTTCCTGGGGTATTACACCATTGATAGCTGCCTGCAAACAAGAAACAGAGAAGGCCATTAAAAAAAAAACAAAAACAGATAACTGTACAAGGGAGATAGGGAACACTGTAAAGGGGAAGTATAGTTTGAAATATGTATAAGAGCAAAATAATTCCTTAATGATGTGRAATATGAAATACTCTTCCTCTCTTTCTCTCTCTTTGGGGGGTGGGGAGGTTACAGACAATTGAACACAGGGATGCTCTACCACTGAGCTACACTCCRGTTCTTTTTGTTTATTTAGTTTTTCTTTTTCTTTCWTTTTTAAATGTGGTGCTGGGGATCAAACCCAGTGCCTCAGGGGTAGTAGGGAAGCACTCTACCACTTAGCCACAACCCCTATACCCTAGTCCTTTTTATCTTGTATTTTCAGATAGGGTTTTTCACAAATTGCTGAGGATGACCTGGAACTTCGATCTCCCTGCTTCAGCCTCTCAAGTTACTGTGATTATAGGAATGTGCCAGGCACCAAAACATTAAATGTTTCTCTACTTCTTGATACTAAAACAGTATTTTAGAAAATTTTTTAAAGACCTATGCATTCGGCACAGAAATTCTCATTTAAGCAAAACATCCATAAAAACAATGCATAAGGATGTCAGAACAAGTAAAATCAATATCTTAAACTAATCTTTTTAACATTATTTCTTTCATCAGATTGAGAGGTTCAACAGTCACAAATGAAAATCTCAATGAGAATGCAAAAATTAGTGAAGAATTAAATTCATTCTTTGATATAATAATCATTATTCTTAATGAAAATAACATTGATAAAGGAAAGAATGTAGAGGTAAAAGTTATTTGATAAACCTAACATCATGACTATAATATAAGGTAACAAAAGAAAGCAGTATTACAGGAGATGTTTCCTTATAAAAATATTTCTGACACTGTTCTCTTAACTAATAAGTTCCCAAGTAGTAAGCACAGCACAGGTATGAAATGACATGAATGTTTTTGAGGRCTACTAAGCAGGCAAGCTGTCCTATTCAGGACTATGGGCAGCTCTCTGCAGGGTAAGCGTTATTCTCTGGGGAAAACAACAACAGAAAAAACAAAATCACAACCTTTCCATCTTTGCTTTTCTACCATACCAATTTCTTCTTTCCTTCCCTTGCCCATTCACAAAAAAAAAAAAAAAAAAAAAAAGAAGAAGATGAAAATTAAACACAAACATATGAACAACTAAGACTTCAATGTTTAATCAGCCACCTGGAAACCAAGTGCCAAAAGGAGTTCATGTATTCTGAAAAACATTAATTTACATATTTGCCAGAGTGGAGTCAATTTTACAGTGGTGAACTGCTGAATGGAGATAGATAAAGCAAAGGGTAACATACTTGCTATAAATTTTGAGAGCTGTAAAGTTCTACTGGTAAAAAAAAAAAAAAAAGAAAGAAAGAAAGAAAGCCACAGGTTAATACAGCAGAGGATACACAGACATCTAAAAACTGACAAGTCTGGAAAATTGACTTTTTCAATTAAGTCAAGCAAATGGTAAAATTGGTTTTCAAGATCGCAGATTCAATAGAAGCATCTTTTCCTAGTGACAGGTCAATTATCCCCCTTGTTGAAAGCAAAGTTTCTAAATACAAATATCTCACAAATATTAAATAACATAAAATGTTTAAGAAAATACTCTCCAATGTTGGAAAAGAACTAAAATATTAGAGCTTAGTAAGATTTTGGTTCACATTTTCTCTAGGGAATGCCACCGTATAATGGAAAAAAATATTAAGGGTTGAGAAAATGCAAACTTTGGATCTAGTCTCTCATATCATCAAAGATTTGATCAGACACTTCTCAAAAGAATATAAATGGCTGATAAACATATATAGAGATGTTCAACGTAAATAGTCATCAGGCAAATACAAATTAAAATCAAGATAAGATTTAATCACACACTCAAATGGTTAAAATTAAATCAGAAAATACAAGTTTTGACATTAATGTCAAGCAACAGGAAGTCTTATATATTATAAAGCAACTTTTCAAAACTGTTTTGACAGTTGTTATAAACAAATAAAGGAAAATATATGTCTAGCAATTCTACGCTTGAATATTCATCCAAAATGAAAATATATGCCCCAAAAACTTGTATACTAATATTCATGGCTGCTTTATTCACAATACCCAATGCKCAACAGCAGGAAAATGTTTTGGGTATACCACATTGTATGGGTACACTAGCATACTATCCAGCAATGAAAACACACTACAGATACATTCAACTATATGCATGCATCTCAGAAACATGCTAAATGAAAAAAGTTAGATGTAAGGGTAAATACCAAAGCCAGGCACAGTGGTGCATGCCTRTAACCACAGTAGCTCAGAAGGTTGAGGCAGGGAGATCTTGAGTTCAAAGCCAGCCTCTGCAATTCAGTGAGGCCCTAAGCAAACTCAGTGAGACCCTGTCTCTAAATAAAATACAAAAAAAGGGCTGGGGATGTGGCTCAGTGGTTAAGCATCCCTGGGTTCAATCCCTGGTACCAAATGGGGGGCAAGGGAGAAGCAAAGCAAATACTAGTTCAATAACAAATAATTAAAAAAAAAATTGACCCAATTCAAAACAAAAGTGCWAAGAATTTGAACAGATATTTCTCCAGAGAATATATAGGAAAGGTTAACAAATACATGTGATGTTCAACATCACTGATCATTAGAGTAATGCAAGTTAAAACGACAATGAGTGGGGCTAGGGTCATAGCTCAGTGGTAGAGTGGTTGCCTAGTACATGTGAGGCACTGGGTTCGATCCTCAGCACCATATAAAAATTAAATAAATAAAATAAAGGTATTATGTACATCTACAACTTTAAAAAATTAAAAAAGAAATGGGTCTTTTAAAAAACTACAATGAGATATCATCTCACACTCATTAGGAGGATTACTATTTAAAAAAAAACACAAAGAAAGCTAAGTATTTGCAAGGATATAGAGAAATCAGAACCTTTATGCACTGCTGATAGGAATATAAAATGGTGTATCTACTGTGGAAAACAGAATGTCAGTTCCTGGGAAAATTGATACATCAATTATACTTTTGGATATATGTCCAAAGAACTGAAAGCAGGATCTTTACAAGATATTTGTACCCATGTTCATAGAAGCATTATTCACAATACTAAAATGTGGAAGCAATCCAGGTGTCCATCAATAKGTATGGATAAGCAAAAGTACTATAAACTTACAATGGCACATTTTCAGGGTAAAAAGGAAGGAAATTATAACACATGCTACAGTGAGGATAAGCCCTGAGGTTACAATGGTAAGTGAACTAATCCTATAGCACAAAAAGACAAATACTATATGTTTCCACTCACATAAGGTAGTTGCAGTAGTCAAAATCATAGAGATGAAAAGTAGAATGGTGGCTGCTAAGGGATGGGGGAAGGAGGTAAAGGGTAATTATTGTTTAATGAGTACTGAATTTCAGTTTTACAAGAGAGAAGAGTTACAGGGATGGATGGAGGTAATAACTACACTACATTATGAATGTAATTGTTAATGTGGTAAATTTTATTTTATACATATTTTACCAAAATAAAAAATAACATATTTTTTAAACAAATAGAGATTGATTGCTGGTGGAGACAGGGTATCTAGTCAGGGATGAAATATTTCAAAATTAGATTATGGTGATGACTACACAGCCTTATGAAGATAACGAAAAAACACTAATTTGTACACTTTCAATGGGTGAGTTAATTGCATGTTGTATGAACTATATATCTCCATATCCCAAGAGAGATATAAAAAGGAGTTATAAGGTATTTTATCTCCAATTCAAAAATATTTTCAGCTTACATACTCTTCAATAAATAACAAGGGGCTCACAAAAGAACAAATATTTTATGACCGCATGTATATGAAACTCTTAAAAAAGGACAAATCTAATCTACAATTACAAAATGCAGAAAAGGATTGTCTGGGTTAGGTAGCAAATGATGGGCAGGCAAGTAAGAGAATTTAGGAATAAGGATTGTGGTGGTGTTTACATGGGTACAAACATCTGTCAAAAATCATCAACTTTTACACTTAGAATAGGTTAATTTTATTGTACTTAAATTATATTTCAATAGTTAATTTTTTAAAAAGAGCCACAAAGATATCTCAACTATACTACAATGACTAAAATTAAAAAGACTARAAACACCAAGTGATGGCAAGGATGTAGAATAACTGGAATTCTCATGCATTGCTGATAGGAAWGTAAAATAGTGAACTACTCTGGAAACAGTAGTTTTTTGCTTGTTTATTATTGTCGTTTTTTGGGGTGGAGGGTAAGTAAGTCTCCCTATGTTTCCAAGGCTGGTGGGGAGCTCCTGGGCTCAAGCAATTCTTCCACTTCAAGCTCCCAAGCAGCTGGGCCCATCAGCATGTACTACTGCACCCAGCTGTTTGGCAATTTCAATAGTTACTTGATATAGTGTTATGATTATTAAGTGGAAAAAGAAAAAAAGATGTCTGACACAAGGAAATATTGATGGGGATGGGCAGTTGAATACATAATGTATACAACTGCCAAAATTCATAGAAATGTATACCATTATATCATGTATTTTACTGTCTGTAAAACAATTATTAACAWAATTTGAGTTAACCAAAAAAAATACAAATATTGTRACTCCACTTTAATTCATAGTTTCACAGAAAGGTAGAAAAATGCAATCTCAGATGCAAGKGATACTCCATTAGCTATCAAAAGAACCCATCAGGGTTTCTTACCTATCTGACATCCTTTTTCTCTTTTCTTTTGATAGAAACCCTCCTTTTGCCTTTAGGCAACTACTCCATTCCATATTATATTATAATTGTTTATCATGATGAGTCAACATCTAGATCAACTAGACTCTCTGTTAATGTGTATCTTACATAAATGAACACTGGTTGAAGCTGTGTCCTCACAACAGTATTCAAGAGATACTTTTTTGAGTTTCCAATGGAAAAACTCTGTTTACTAACCTACTCAAGGCCTGGTTTTTCAAAT